ATATATATCGCTGCAAATATAAATGAGCTATGTGTGTGGAGGTAGAGAGAATGGAGACAAGAGATTGTATTGTTGTATTGTTGCAGATTGATGTTCAGCGCAGCCCCCGAATTTTTCGTTTTCCCTTTTCGTGCTCTTTCACCCATTTTCCCCACAGCACCACACATCGAACAAAAACTCTGGTTAAACTGGGATGCACTTTTTCGGCACGCATCCTGAGGTTTTAAGGTTCACGCTGGCCTGTTTGGAAACCAGTCTCGACCTGTATTGAAACCTCTCTGTGCATGGGAGGCTTCGATTCATACTCACTATGGAGTTTCACAGCGGCTTTCCTCGTGGGCCACGTGTGAATGCATTTATTTGTATTTGTTTGGATGAAAATACGTAGAATAGTTATTATGTTATATCTGGCGCCGCTTCCGTTCAACAGAAGCAGCTGCCTATATTCATAGCAATGTATAAATATGTATCTTTCATATCATAATGTTGAAATAATCTATATATCAATGTTAATATACACAAGAGGTTATAATAAACATAGTATTACTGAATACCTTATTAATTCTATATCTATATACCAACTTTTTGTTTGATGGTTTGAACAGGCCAGGACAACCCCTTTGTGACTTGTGATTCTTTCTAGAGTGCAATATATGATCATGTCTGTTAGGCTATACAGAGGTCACGCTCGACTCATTTGTTTTCATTACCCATTCTGGCGCCGAAGAACCGCAACCCAATTCTCCGAGGAAATATGGTGCTTTCCTTGTCATAAATCATATGCTATTTTATCAGTAACATGAAAATCACAAGTCAGTAGCGATCTGTGAGGATTACTGGCTCTGTGGGCTTTTAGAAAGATCATTTTATTGCTGAGGAATTCTTGTTCCATACAGTGAGTTTATACTCTTATCTTAGAAACCTTTCAGTGAAGGCTGAGCATGTAATAAAATAGGATTACATGGACTTTTTAAAGTGTTCTCGTAATGTGCCAAACTCAAATATTACCTCCATGTATGAACACTGTTGTACTGCAAGTTGAATTTTATGTTCTATGCTGAAATATGGTGCCAAATATGTTTCTATTTAATTTTTCTATGAAGATGCGTGTGTGAGATTTTAATATGAGGCGTCATTACTTCTGTAAGCACCAGAGGAGCTGATTAATACTGTCCCATTTAAAATGTCCTCAGATGAGGTTTCTGAATGTAAGCTTTAATTAAGTTGGTTTTCCTTTTCAAAAAACACACAACAGCCGTTCTGTCTTGTGATGCAGTTGACTTGAACCAACTTTTTTTGTGCACTTTCTATCGTTTGTTTGTCCAGACAGGGTATTTTGTTGAGCGATTTATGTACCTTGAAATCAGAGCCATATATATTCTGATGTTGATAATTGATGTATTATGCTGAAAAAAGGACATGCAGTATGTAATAAAGTGTGGTGGTTTCAGCCTGTGTTGATTTTTTAAAAGGCAACCTTAAAAAAAAAGAAGGAAAAAAAGAGCATTTTGAATCTTCAGTTAGCATTTTGATAATCAACCTTGCCATTTTTTAGGGATAGATATTCTAGATAAAGTGCTATGGGTGGAACACTGAGACTCGCCTTGTTAGTGAGAAGTAACAGGCTAATCAAATGCTAGCTTTTCACACACCAGAACTAAAGCACAATCTACTGGAAAGTCCTTATAACACTGCAGCCCCATTACATTAGATAATCCGATCGCAATGCTCCAAAAGGCACCGACAGCACAAACACAGAGGAGAGCTCATTGACTACAATTAACAGAGGTGAGGCCTAGTGGACACCAAGTAGCTGTAAAAGACACAGCAACTATGACTCGCTGGAGGGGGATTTGCACGTCAGTAGAGATCACACTGTGTGGAGTAGTTGTCTGATGCCACTAAGCACTGCTGTTTCAAGCTGAAAACTATCCTTTATCTTTATCCTAAAGTCTCCAACTAAAGGAAGCTGGTTCCTTTATTCCCTGTGGAGAGCTATGCAGACTTTCTTAGTGGTGTCGGAGGAAAAGGACCCAAAATGCAGGCAACGACTAATGATATCAGTGAGAGTTTATTTACAAGTGGCAGAGTGACAAAAAACAGGCAATGAGACACGAGAAGCTACTGAAGAAACCTAAACTGGGAAAACTAAAGCGCAAACCTGAAATCATAATAAAACCCACTATACACACACACACACACACACACACACACACACACACACACACACACACACACACACACACACACACACACAAGGTAATCAGGCAATGACACACAGGAGGGAAGCACAGCTGATCCTTATTCACAAGCTGAACACAGTGATAACAGACACAGACCTTCAAAGTAAAACAGAAAATTCATAATACAAACTCAGGGACATGAACAAATCACCGGGGACGACACAGGAAATAAACCTTAGGACTGGAGACCCTGAGAATGAAACCTACATACATGAAGAAATTAATATCAAATCAGATAATAATAATAAACATAATGACAAACACAAAACCCTGGGCCAACGACTCAGCAGCATAACAGATTTTATAACAACTATTTAAGTTAAATGAGTCAGATCCCTTTGGGAGCCAGCCTCAAGTGGCCACTAGAGGAACACTGGCTTCATTTTTCAGCTCAGAAGAAGTGTTCTGTTAGACAGCCAACTATCTTTACTGTGTCTTTAAAAGTATTTAACAGTATAACAGTATGGAAAGTGTGGTGCATAACTTGCGAAGGATGGTAATGCAATGTAAGCTATAGTAGATGATCAAACAGACTTAGTTTTCAATGAAATTTAAGATCAAATACGTCTATTTAAATAAATACTGATAATCATACCTTTCATGTACTGAAATAGTTCCTTCATCCCTGAGAGTAAATAAGCAGATAACATTGTTACTGAGTGAACAGATGAGATGCCAGTATAAAGTAAAGTTATAGTGGTTCACTATTCAATTCAGTTCAATTCAATTTCATTTATATAGCGCCAAATCACAACAAAAGTCGCCTCAAGGCGCTTCATAGATACAGAGAAAAACTCAACAATCATCAGTGGGAAGGAAAAACTCCCTTTTAACAGGAAGAAACCTCCGGCAGAACCAGGCTCAGGGAGGGGCGGAGACATCTGCTGCGACCGGTTGGGGTGAGAGAAGGAAGACAGGATAAAGACATGCTGTGGACGAGAGACAGAGGTTAATAACAGATATGATTCAATGCAGAGAGGTCTGTTAATACATAGTGAGTGAGAAAGGTGACTGGAAAGGAAAAACTCAATGCATCTAGAACTAGAACCTCATTCACACTCAGAAATAACAGAATCATTTTTTATTATTATTTATTAAATTAATCTTAAAATAATTTTTATTATTATTGTTTTCCTAAATGCAAACTCATCATGTCTTGCTCCAAAAGCAAGTTCCTGAATGTACTAGAAGTTACGTGGATCTCTGCTCACTAGAGGGCAGTATACGACTTTCAGTTAATTTCTCTATGTGAGCTCTTCACTCTCCTTAAGAATAAGAGTCTTAGCAGCAATCATTGCACTATAACAGGCAGGGTAATTCAGATCTGACTCTTATCTTTGAATAAAGCCTTTCATTGCTTTAGGTAAACACCTGGGACATTTTCATTAGGTGTAAATTATGTACACAGGACAGTTTGACCCACGCGGTACATTGTGCAAAGCTGAGTGCCTTTTGCGTAACCTTTCGTGCAAAAGAGAACAAATCTATTTTTGTTATATTACTTCTGTCATCAATGTGATCTGAAGCAGTTGATGAGCTCTGAGTCACACGGTGTCAAGGAAGTAAACTGACGCAGAGTGGTTACTTTGACAGGATGTGGCTGTGTGTGAAGATGGGGACAGTCATTCAGTTATTTCTTCACACCTTGAGCACAGAAAGGAAAAAAAAAACTTTCTGCAGTCTTTTTAAAATCATACTACAAACTCCAATGCAATTTAACCTACTGCATATAGATCTGTTTATTTTAACACATACATAAATCTGTGATTATAATTCATTATATGATATATATAAAGCGGTCGGTTTGTTTTTCCCACAAAACAAATTAGCTATGTTTAGGATTTTCATCTGTGATATGGGATTAGTTTTTATTTGGATGGCAAAGGAGCCTGTTAAAAACGTTCATGGCCTGCTCAGTAACTACAAAGTACCCTAAAACAAGCCCATGGCTTCATCCCTCCTCCAACATGCTTGACAGTAGATATGAGGTGTTTGTGCTCACTGTGCAATATAGCCAGAAATTTAAAGAACAACCATTCATGCCTTTGTGCAGCAGTTCCAGTGTTACGATGCTCTGTGAGTTTGGGGGTAGGCCATTAGCGTAGGACATTAGTATAGTCATTAGAAGCAGCAGTAATTAGCAAAATTAGCTTCTGCCACCTGCACTGTAATATAAATGTCTCAGTTTTGTCCC